CAGATTACGGAGGATAGAGCTTTATGTATGCATTTGGAACGGAGAGGACGTCAACGAGGACATCGTTCCGGGCGATTGGAATGCAGCGTAGGAGAATGGAAGTTCTGCTAGCAGATTTCAGGAGTGGAGGTTTCAACGGAATCATTTCAGCAGAACCGTTGGGTGGTGATGCGCAACGCTTTTGACATCTCGAGGTTTGAAACGAGAAATCCTCAGTGTTCTCTCCCCCAGCCCGAGTTTGCTAGCCTCCCCGTAGAAGAGAAGTATAAACACGCTAGCCACCTCTTTGCAAACCAGGTCACCACGGATGGGTGCGGCGCATCTCTCCTGCTCTTTCGGCCCAAGACAGAGAAAAATGGCAATAAGATAGCAAAAAAAGAGGTCTTCTGAGCACCCCGTCATCCCCGCTGGGTACGTGTCAGATGTTGTCGTTGGACTGGATCTAGGGATGCGAGCCCTTTGTATGGTCGTCACAGAAGACCTACGCTCTAATGTGAAAAGACACTGCCGACAACGAAGCCGCAGATCCCGGCGTGGTAAGAAGACACTTGGATCACATCGAAGGAAGAGTGATCGCCCGCACTGGATACGTACACCCAATGTTTCTCAGCGTCAGTGCGACTGAGATGTAATTCGCATCAGTATACGTGAATATCGACACTTGGCCGGGTTCAACAAATTTCGAGAGTGGAATGAGTGTCTGACGAAACGAAATTAAGAATATCAAAAAGTCATTGATGGCATGCCGCCGTTCAAGACGGCAAGCTTTAAGAAGTATTTGGAGTGCCTCGACTACTTCTGGCGTCACGCGAACTTCCTACGAGAATTCTGTGCTGAACACCCGTTTCTTAAGCGGAAATGTGTCAGGAAGCGAATGGCTCGTGTTGCGGTGGATGCACTAGCCAAGCACATCGTCCCAGTGGTAAGCACGAAGACATGTGTGGCGTACGGAGACTGGAGTAAACGCAATGGGATCAGAGGTCATGCATACAGTCCGGTGAAAGGGTTGAAGCAGGCGCTTCAGAAGCGCACGATGGCGGTCTCCATGGACGAGTTCAAGACGAGCAAGCTCTGCTCGCATTGCCACCAGACGCTTTCGTCTGTTCAATATCTCGTCGACACCAAGCTCGTGAAGCGAAAGAAGCGTAAGGGCACGGTTCTGATACGCAATCGACCAGAAGTACAGATCGAGGAGAAGAAATGTTACGGAGTGCTCCGCTGCGAC